TTTACGGAGGAACCATAAAGAGGAATTCACAGAGAGACATAACTGACGCCTCATCCTTGGTGCCAGGATAGTCCGATTCCCCGGGGGTGTGATAGCATGAGGAAGGCTTCTTGGGGAGAGGCGATGTCCTATTTCATGAGGTGGGGATTGTTTATAACAAAACAGAACAGACCCCAGAGCTGCTGCTTTGGGGCCAGTCAGTTCCAACTCATGGCCGTGCCATGGGGTTCTCTAGGCTCGTGTCTGACAGTAGCACATTGCCAGGGCTTTTTTCCGTGGCACTTCTTGGTGGGCGCACACCGCAAACCTTTAGATCAGTGGTTCTCAACCTTCCTCATGCCGCAAACTTTAATACGGTTCCTCATGTGGTGGTGACCCCCAACCATAACATTATTTTCATTGCTACTTCATCACTGTCATTTGGCTATTGTTAGAATCGGGCAACCCTGTGAAATGGTCATTCGATCCCCAAAGGGGTCGAGACCCACAGGTTGAGAATCACTGCTTAAGAGGAGTCATTGAGTGCCTACTTGTGGGTGCTATTCAGGACTTGGTGTTTGCACAAGTCTGCGTACAAAGGCATGTGTGCATTTTGTGAACCCCCCTCAGGTTGCATATGTGTGATATGTACATGGTATGTATTATGTTCCAGGAAGAAAAAAACGAGCAGCCTGTGGCTACAAGGTGGCCTTGATACCTTCTTTATCACATTCACCCTCACTATCACCGCCAGTAGGACCCACACAGTCATGAATATTTTGAGGATCAAACCCTAAGTGCTACTCTTCCTGAAGAGTTAGCTCCCTTCAGAAAGGGGCACTTGACAAGGTAAATTGGCTTCTATGGAGGGCCTGAAGAGGTCAAGATGCTGCCCAAGGGACAGGCTCCCCAGGCTCGTCAGAGACAGAGCTCGGTGTCCTGTGTGATCTGCCTCATTTTCTGAATGATGGACATGCCACTTCTCCTGGCTGGCCCTCAGTTTCCACCTGTGCAGTGAAGAAACTAAGTGTGTTTCACGGTGAGGTAGAATGCTCCTTCCCTGGATCCTGCTCTCTAAAAGCAACATTGGTCGTAGTCTTACACTGCTTAGCTTTGCCATCTGAAATGTGTGTGGTCTGTTTGTCCTTGAACTCCTAGAGGGCAGGGTCAGCCCCACACCTTCCGTACCTCCAGACTCTAGGTTTGCCTTCCCAAATGTGAGCCTTTTCAACCTCCCCTGCCAGAAATTCCTGGCACCGGGTCTAGTGTCCGTGTTGCCTGTGACCTCCAGGCTAGACTTCTCTTTTCCCCAGTGCCCAGTGAGCACGATTGAAAGATGATGGGGAAGCAGATAACTAATAGGGAAGGGAGGACGCAGGACCTGGTGAAGAGGTGTTAATCCAGGTTCTGTGTCTTTTGTGTGCATGTGTGTATCTATGTATACGAGAGAGAGTGTGTGTGTGTGTGTGTGAAATATGAGTATCTGCAGTATATTGGAAAGCTAGCCATAGCTTTTATTACTCCCACCTAATGATCTTCATTTTCCTGATAGGTCTGGGTAAGAAGGTGGATTATATGATTCAGCTGTGTGATTGCTTACAGGGATCATTGTGACTGCCATCCAGCTGGGTATAAAATCAGCCATGTCCAAAGCAGGAAGGGCGACTCACTACTGGCCTAAGAGAAGAGTGTCTTTTGGACCCTGAGATCCCTACACATTGAACTCCTTGATGCATAGCCATGACACCAGAGGAACAGCGGAGAAGCAGCGGCAGCAGAACCATGACACAGAGTGGTGGAATTCCCATTCCACAGAGCAAGTAAAACAACGTTAGGGGGAGCAGGAGGCTGGGTTGTGGAGTGGGGTGCCTCTGGGCACTCAATTGGAGGAGAAAAGAACTGAGCCCTTAGTCGCCCTGCAGGTCTGGAGAGCTAGATCCTTCCTCTGGCTCAACTTTCAGCCACACAGCAGAGGGGTCTACACCATCAGCACACCTTAGAATCATCAGCCCCTTGAGATCAAAGGGGCAGCGTTTACCCAAGGACAAAGTCCGGCAGGGTGAGGAAGGACGGAGGGATGGAAACAGGAAACATACCAAAGAAGTCGCACAAGCCGGGGCACGTCAAGGGGGTTCCCGGAATGAGATAGAACAAAATGTGTATGAGTTGTTGAATGAAAAACCGGTAATCTGCGCTGTAAACCTTCACCTGACCCGCAGTAGTAAAACAAAACCCAAAAAGTTCATGGGAAAACTGAACTAAAAGATTGTGGAAATTTTCCATGAACTTTTTGAAGCCCATTTATACTAAGTTTGGCAGAAGATATTTCCACATATGTATTTATATGTGGTGCAAATCTATCTGAGGACATTACAGAGTACGAAGGAGCAATGTTCTGGAAACATCTTAGCCCTAACCAACCCCCTGAGGGAATGATTGCAAGCTGGAGGATTCCAGACTACCCTGGTCGGTGGGACCTGCATGCCATAGTCTCCGGGTTTGCTTTCCTCCAGGGCAGAGAATGTTCAAGGATTGGCTGTTCTCAGTTACTATGGTCCCTGGACTCCTGGGCCTTGGACATAGCAGGTCCTCAATACATGTGTGTTGATTTGTAGATGTGACATCCACAAATTATTACCCATATGGCATGACCATTTGTGGGAAGAACTTTTAACCTTATAATGAGATAGATTGACAGATGCATTGCTGTCAGGTCCATGCTAACTCACGGCGACCCCACAGGGCAGGGCAGAACTGCCCCATGGGTTTCCTAGGGCTGTAGTCTCTATGGAAGCCGACCCACATCTTCCTCCCTCATAGTAGCTGAGGGGTTCAAACCACCAAACTGTCTGTTAGAAGGCAAGCACTTAACCATTGCAACACCAGGCTGGGAGAGAGAAGATAGATATGTAGACAGACAGAGAGGGCCTGCTTGGAATTTCATTTTGGACGAGAAATTAGAGGTCATCACTTCAAAGAATGTGCCCTTTGTCCCCTGGTAGTCACTATGGTGCTGCTCTAAGCGCCTGTGGGGAAGGGACGAAGGGACTCACTGAATAGCCCTAAGCCCCCCACGTGCCATCCCCAAGCATCAGTGTGCTTTTAATCTGTACATTTAAGACACCTGCGTGATTGTACTAAAGAAAATCTCCACCATGAAAGAAATGGTAGAGAACCGTGTTCTTATCTACCAGACTAGCATAGTGACCTTTGGGGATATCAACCCCAGAAACATCAAGACCTGCCCCCTCAGGCCAGTCCCATTAATGATGCTAGTGCGACGTCACCCTGCATGTGGGGCCTCAGCCCGCCGGGCCATGGAGGTTCTGGCCTGGCTCTCTCTGATGCAGTTGGTTGTGGGATACCAAGCTGCATCGGGGATCCTTGAATTGGGAAGAGATGTGAAGCTAGAGTGCCCATCTCTAACCAAGGTGTGGATGAACGGACAGAAAAGCACATTTCAGACACCGGACAGGGAAGGAGACGGAAATGACCGTGTGGGCTTCAGGCAGAAAGCCCCCAATGCCCTTTTCAGACTCAGCTCACTCTGCATGCAGCCAGAAGGTAGCGCCTAACCTTGGGCTTTGGGATCCTACTGGCTTACCATGAACTCCCCCTTGAGTGTAAGCACAAGGAGGGAGGTGTTGAGCTGCTAACCACCAAAAGGTCAGGGGTCACTCCAGTCACTCCACAGGGTGGAAAGATAAGACTGCTCCCATAAAGATGGTCCCATTCAGAAACCCTGCAGAAGCTCACCATGTGTCCTAATCAACGGCGAGACAGCATTTGGTTGGGGGGTTGGGTTCATTGCCCTAAGGGTGTCTGGATGGCACTAAAAGGGGTCTGAGTGCTTGACTGGGTGGCAATAAGGGGGTCTGAGTGCTTGACTCTTGTGGCTCTAAAAGTTCCAAAAAACAAAACAAAACAAAAAACCATTGCCATCAAGTTGATTCTGACCCATAGCGATCCCGTAGGACAGAGTAGATTGAACCTTCCCTCGGGGCTCCCAGGGATCGAGGTTTCTGGAAGCAAGGGGCCTTGTCTTTCTCCCACTGAACGCCCGCTGGGTTCAAACTCCTGTGGCTCTCAGAGCCATTGCACACAGCTGGAGCCGCCCAGAGTAAAGGACGCTCGATGGGGATGCGTTGCTCTGCTCTGCCACCAGGCCGGACGCTGTTTCTGAACAGGGAGTCACATTGGAAGGTCTCTTCCTAGCACCCAGAGCTCTGGCCCTCAATCCCACCTATTTTTTTAAAGTCAGCGGGCCGTGACCTCCTGTGTAGCTACGGGCCTGGGTAGCACCTTCCCTGGTGGCATCTGGGTGGTGGTTTGCAAAGGCCCAGTCGAGATTTTCAGAGAAGGGCTTCGCACCCCCTCCCCGGCTCACTGCAGCATGGCTGCATTTCTGCGGGAAATCTTCGCTTCACCTTTCCGAACTAGAGCAGCCGCTATTTACAGGCCCAGATAGGACTGGGACGATCTTGTCTCTGGCCCCAAAGGGAGAGGGTGCAGGTGTCCTGGGTAGGTGTTTTTGTTTTGTTTTGTTTTGGTCGTTCCAGCAAGTCAAAGAGAGGACCTTGGTGTGTGCTCACCTACTACCCTGAGGGTGGGTGCTGCTGTGGGAGAAAGGCCTGGTGAGAGTAGAGCCAAGAAAACCCAGCGGGCACCATGCCCCTCGGGAGCACGTGGGTACGCCATGAGTCAGAACTGACGCGGTGGCAGCAGGTTTGCTTGTGTTCTTTGAGACAAGTCAAAGCACGACTGGGGGGGGGGGGGGGGGAGGGTTCCCTGGAGCAGAGTCTCTCCACTGCCTGTGTGACAAATGACAACTTGGCGATTGCTGAGACCCTGATGGAAAGACTTCAGAGGAGGCGATGTGAAAGCCAGGGTCCGTCTGATAAATTGCTCAGCAGTCAGAGCAGGAGGTGTTCTGGGATGTGCCTCATCCTCTCCCCCCCACCTCCCGCACCCCTGCCACCCAGTGACACCACCACCACCACCCACCTCCTCCCTGTGACGCTTGCAGCAAAGGTGAGGGCGACCCTGAGGCATTTGGCCAGTGTGCTCTCAGAGTGGGCCAATGAATGAGGACGTCAGGCCAGGTCAAGTCAACAGGGCTCCCATCCGGAGGAGCAAGGGCCGATCTTAAAGCACTGACTGGGAGGCTACAGAAAGGGAATGTTCATCTCTTGCCCCAAATCCAGCCTGGCTCCGAGTCGACGCATGCTGACACCGTCTGGTGACTTGAGCCTTTCAGAAGAGCCAAGCCAGCAGGACAGGCAGGAGAAGCACCGGCCAGGCCAGCAGGAACCCTGCAATGCAAGAGACAGGATGTCAGTGGTGGGGTTTGGAAACTCAGCTGCAACCGTGAGCCGGCCTGCCCCCATTCTTGGGTGCCTGGTCTGGGTCACAGGGAAGAGGCAAACCTATCAAGTCGCCCAGCACGTTTGTTTGCCTCTGGAAACTGGGAAGGGAAGGGAGATTGTCCAGGTGTTTGTGTGGGCCTCTCGCGGCTACAGAGGTGATTCTGACTCAGCGTCCATGGAAGACAGGATGGAATTGCCCCTTTGGGGTTTCTGAGGCTTTAAATCTTTACGGGAACAGAAAGCCTCGTGGTTCTCTGGTGGAGCAGCTGGTAGGTTCGAACTGCTGAACTCATGGTTAAGAGCCAACTGATTTGGGCCAGTGGATGGTGGGTGGGAATAATCACTATCTTGGCCTGAGTGCTTCTTTCAAGACCCTCCATCCCCCTTGAGCACCTTCTCGGGACAAGATGCAGCAGACCCCCCATTGTACTCAGAGGGCTCTAATGGCGTTGTCCAAAGGTCTCAGGAACCCGGGTTCCCTGATGACAGCGTGGAGCAGAATGCCACCCACTCCCCAACGACCAAGTGAGAAATGAGCCTTTTTGTGCTCGGCTATGGAGAATGGGATTGCTTGTGACTGCTGTCCTGACTAAGATTACACCAAGAACAGAGTCCAACGCATGGCCTCTGACGTCAGACTGCCGTGCATAGGATCCCAGCTCTTCCGGAGATGCGCCCTCTCAGGCAAACTCCCGAAGCTCTCTGCGACTGCGTTTCCCGTGGGAAAAATGGAGATCTGCCCAGCACCTCTCACTGTTAACTCTGGGTCAGGGTTGGCTCAAGGGGTTAGTGTTGGGTTTTTGCCTTCACCATCTCGCCGGGCATTTGAAAGACTGAATTCCAGCGAGCATTGGGAGTGGCACGTGGCCTACACCATCTGTTTTCTGGTTACCATCAATTCAGTGCCCCAGCTCACCAGGCTCGACTTGCTGTGGGGCCTGGGGTTTCCATGGGCTGATTTTTGGAAATGAATCGCCAGGTTTCTCTTCCTGGTCCGTCGGAGTCTGGAGACTCCGCCAAACCTGTTCAGCATCAGAGGGATCCAGAAACCTCCATCTACCTGCAGACAAGTGCTGACTGTGCAGGACGCGCACTGCCCTGGGAACCAATCCCCAGAGGGGGCGCATCCTACCAGGGAGCCCCTTTTGCCTCAGATACCATGTCAGCCCTGACCAGGCTGGTTT